AGGCTATATACGCGTGGCCATGTGAGAGTATTTGGAGAGGAAGAGCGGACTCTCCCCACTCTCGGACGTACCAGGGCATTTGATAGTTAAACCGATATAGTTAGTGCTAGGTTCGAATTCCTGAAATTAGCGACTTACCAAGTGCTTAAAATATTAAATCGCAGACCTTTTCAAATGACAATGACTTTTTCTGATAGCTCTAATTAAATCAAATAGTGCGATAGCTTAGCTCTGACGAAAATGGCTACAAGGCATACATGCTGCCACTATTACGTTCAACACGCTTAAATCATGCAGCAAACAACGCTAAACATTGATATATAACACAGCAACGTTAGCATTAAGTGAATTCAGTATTATGTGTAGACGTTTATCTCAACCGCAATTGAAGTTATGTTGTGCAATACAAAATTTTTAACATGACACAGAGTGAATTATGTTGCAGCACGCTGACTGCCCCGGTTAAAGTCAATCATCGCTGGTGGATAAATGAGAAGACGTTAGAATCTCCTTGTATAAAATTCAGTCAGTCAGCTACAACGTAGGACCAGGCACACATATGCAACGGTCCAAGTTGCCATACCTCGTTAGCACAACAAGATCAACACCGGATTCATAGTAGTTAATTTAGTGGTGGTGATATACAGAACAAAGGTTGTATATAAGGATATAGTATAGGAAGAAAGATAGACATGAAGCAATTTTAATCTCAAGGTTTAAGGGAAGATAAAGAGCGTATACACCTACTCCATAGTGATCGATTCTGAGCCATGTCATCTAGAGTTTCCAACCATTGGTTTCGATGGTCGCGCCGACCCCAACCAAGTAGTCTGCATCTGCCAACAGGACTCAGACTAGAAGTTAGTGACTTTAAGCACTGATGCCATGTTTTGGTTTGGCCGCCCCTAACTCTCTTCCAACCATCGCCAATTACGTTTTTGTTTAAGCCGTATCCTGATTTCAGGGACCGGTCGAGTGAGGTGGTATCCGAAAAATGCTTAGCAGTAGGGGTAAGAAAGTATCATCAAAAATATCCTAAACAAGAAATCTTTTTACTTAGATCTAATAAATACAAAAATACGTTATATCCAATCTACGCAACTGAAGGTTTAAAATAGTCCGAATGAGATGATCAATCTAGGTTTAAAGAAAGGGAATTAATTAGTCCCAATGGCACAATATGTGAAAATTACATAACCTACAATCATAAAAACAACTCAAGTATATCGCACCTACTGTACTCAAAATAATAGCTACATTAAACCTTGATCAAGTTTATAAAAGCACAACAATAAGCGATCGATAAAAAGGTGAAAGACACTTGCCGAGATCGATTTTTAACGAAGTATAACTCATTTAATGGTAGTCTTTTCTGTAGAAAAAATGCAGTATAAGTATGGTTTAATAACACACTGTTTAAAAGTGATAATGAGTCCTAAAGTGTTATCATATTCAAATGGCTCATTCACCAGGGACATATTTGTGTGCTTAGCTTTAGAGTATCACTTTTCTAAATGTGAGAACTAGTGATACTACTCAACTGCCCAGGCCGAAATAGGTGATGAGGAGTTCAGACCTGAGACACAGTGGCTGAAAACTTTGAACGATGAGCCACCAATCCATGAACATTAGATGGAGACTAATAGACTACTTTTTCAAAAAAAGACATTTATTGATACAAAGCTTTTACAGCAAAATACCAGTTCATACAAACAGCTTAACACAAAAAAAAGTAAATAAATTATGGGGAAATAGAAGATGCTAGAACTGTAAAAAGTAGTATACTTGGCTCGATATTAAGTAAAATAAAAGTAAACCTCGGAAGAAAACTTTTACCTTATTAGTGATGATATAATTAAAGAATTTCGAAAGTCATTTCAGGAACCATTAAAACAATCTATCTCTAATAAACCCTTAACGCACGAGAAAAAATATCGAAATTTACTTAACTTGATGAAAAACATGGATAGTTATTAACAGAACTTAATACTTTACGCTCCTGAAAATGTACACCTCAAAAAGACTAACTTACATTGGATATGTAGGCACCGAACGACACTAGATATCTTGCTGTTAGTGAACAAACTAGTAGAGATTGGGGTATTCTTATAAAAGACGCTGTGTGTATGATATATCACAAAAATAAGTAATTCAAGTACAGCACTGAATTAATTTTTTCGACAATGAAAAACGTTAAGTTCGTGGTAATAGGTGACTCATATTACCAAATTATGGGATTTGTTTTGCGAAACGGATATGACAGTTTGTGATGTACATCCAATGTGTGGAATAGTCATCGAATCTGTCTTCAGAGACAATTAACTCAATTTGCACAAAACTCAGTGGACAGAATTATTTCTAATCTCAACTAAACTGTCAATGACCACCATGATAAATAGGTTGAGAAAGATATGGTGACAAATGACTCGGATTTCATTCACTGACATCGTACTCATTTTTTGAAGAATCCGCCCAACACCATACAAATGAGTTTTTTTCGGTATGAATTGACTATTTATACAAAAAAACCTGGAAGTTTGTTAGGTAAATAAGTAGTTCAAAATTTGATCCCTTTCTGACAGCTCAGTAAATCTGCTTCACAAAGTACTAGTGAGTCTACTTTAACCCCATTATTGTGAATCATTTTTGTAACCACCAATTCATTTTATTATTACTATTATTATTATTATCTAAACACATAAACATTGGTACAAGGAGGCACCAAATGCATATGCGCCACATTTCATCATTTGGTTTGTGTCAGGGCTAGGACAATGCCTGGTTGCCAAAACCGAAAAAGGTGGCTTTTCTGGGGGTCCACACCCGGAGCCTTCAACTTAAAGGTCCAATCCACAATCCAGTAGAGCAACGTTAGGAGATTCAGTCCCATGGTAGACAGTAATCAACAATTGATTTATACTCCATTTGTTCCTTCAGGATCCTGGAGACCATGTGCACAATTAGTTTACAATCACGGTTTCCCAACTCCCCTATGTGGATCCTCCATAACCACTGTTAGCGGGATATAGATTGGATTAAAGCATGTTTCATGCTTGATGGTGTTGCTGAACGCTGACTGGTTAATTATTATCCAATCAGCTCTAGTCGTTGCTTGGAGAAGACTCTAGAAGCTTCTTATGTATATACTGTAAATATATGAACGTTATTCAAACCAGTGATTGTTGTTCACCTACCATTGCTATTTTGAATACTATTTCGTTCCTGTTCAACGTGTTCTGATTTGGGGTCTTTTCGAGTTTCATCGTGTAAGAATACTAAGCAATAGGAGTAGCTGGGTTGTTTATTAGCAATATAATTACAACAACCACCAACCCGGTTAAAGCACTGAACATTCGCTTTTGGCCCTCTTACCTTCGTAAACAATACCCCCACCACGAGAAGGAAGTGAGTAAGATGTCTCTGGCAGTGGTTGTATGCACGTGGCCATGTGAGAGCATTTTGATAGGGAGAGCTGACTCTCCTCGCTCTCATCCGTACCAGGGAATTCGGGGCAATATATTTAATACTGTTCAATTTTGTCATAAATAAGATTGGAAACTGTTCTTAAACGTCATGTAACGGTGTCTGAAATATGGCAAAATGGTATGGAAAATATGACTAGGTGACGACTGAGAGATATTTTTAGGACGGTTAATTTTACCATTGCACAAAAATGTAGTAAATAAATGAACACTTAGTAATATCAAAGTCTGAAAAGGAAGAATTGATTCTTGAATACACAAGTTTTTCTTCTAATCTCCAAGTCAACTTTTTTTTATCAATGGGGTGTAGTACCTTAAACCAATACTTTATTTAGCTTGACAGTATACTACAATTAGTTTTGCGTTGGTCTTGAAACAACGATGAAATCATAAATGATCACTTTAAGATGTAGTATTGAAATGTAGGACTAAGTAGTTAAGGGAATCTAGTAATAAGATAGACATTTTTAAAAAATGTTTTTCTTGTCAAATTTCATCGGTGTTATGATCTGACTCAAAGTTCACATCGTGTGCATCAGTTATTAATTCAAAGTTATTTTATATTGTTTATTTGGACACATAAATATTAGTACAGGGGGGCACCATATATATATGCGTCGCACTAATTCAAAGTATTCATTTCAGATTTAAATGAAGACGTACTGAAGGAGTTCAAGAAATTTCTTTGAGTGAAATGACATTTTGTTTGACCAGCATGTAGGATCACTACTGTGCACCACGCCTCTTTACATGCGATGTTGAACAATACCCTAACTTCAGATAGTTCGTGAAATGAATAAGAAACTGCTATACCATATTTGACTCATGTAACAAGACTACCATAAAGACAGACGATTGCCACCACGAAACAGGCTGAGAATAGTTTCAGAATTTGGAAAATTTTGGTTTTAGTGAAATATGATAAAAGGCATACTGATTGGTTTCAAAATTACTACTTTAAAAAAGTCAAAAACCTCAGAAATGTATAGTGATTCGCACTAATCTTTTATTAGTAAATTTATGATAACTAATGAGGCGGAAATCAATTTGAGGAGGTATTTTTTAAACATCAATACTGACATGAGATCAAGGAAAAGACACTTCACGACCCTGGGCATGTATTTATACCAACAGCTACAGAGAAACCAAGTAAACCGTCCCCACAACGTCAATCAAAATCCAGATGAAAATGTTAATTTGTTTTCTTCCGGAGACTAGCATTTTAAAACATTTGCCTACTCATACTCACACAAAAAAATTCGAAAGCGTACTTGACTGATATTCATTGACTACATGAATGATATTGGATAGATAAATCTATGGAAGACGAAAAAAACAATATGGTAACTGTAATACCAATCTTGGGAACCTAGATGAAGCAACGTTATGCTAATGCATAGTACTAATGTAAAAGAACACTGGATGCTAAGTCTGTTTACCAACAACTCACAATGACATGCGATCATCTCTAACTAGTAGCACAGAATTTCAAAATAGTAGTGTAAGAAAGAAACTTACTTGAAGTGACATTACGACATAACTATAACGGTCATTTCTTCCACAACCCAAAAACTTGCACACATGTTCTTTGCCCTGTAGTTTCCTTAAGACTGCGACCTCCATTTTTAGAACTTGCTTGGGTTGCCGTGCTGACTCTAATTTTAAAGCTACTTTTTCTTGTGAGCTGACTTCTTGAGCCTCGTATATCTCTCCAAAACCGCCACCTCCAATCTTTTTGATAATACGCCATTTCTCCTTAATTACGTGTCCGGGTAAGACTAAATCACTATCTGATGTAGCTGACGTCATCCCACATCGTTGTTAGCTGGTTTAAATGAAGTAATATTATGTTCCCGCCCCTGTATTCTGGGAAAATTTGAATCTTTAGTTACTCAAAACTTTAAATTTGATGTTGAAACCAAAAATGGTAAAAGCGAGCACAAAGTCAATATAAGCAATGTACGAACTCAACATCCAACCAGTTGTCAAAGCTTCATATGATCGCGCTGCCAAAATGTATGCTGATATCAGCTGGTGAAACAAAATAATCAGCTTTGAATAAGTACATAGATTCAGTAAAACTATACACGAAGGGACTAAAATCTTTGAAAAGACAGGATATATTGAACCTGTAGAACAGAATTTTAGGGACATGGTCATGAAAAGATCATAATGTACTGGAAGAATTGTCTGACACATACCAAGTGCTAAGTCCTCTAAATCAAATATCTTGGGAGCGGTGATAAATTATACAGTCTTAAATGATTCATTTATCCGACCTTTCACAGTTAACCATCACTGTAATGTCATGATAAATTTTATGAAGTGTCTTTTCTTAAGCGCTGCAGTTTACGGAATACCAAGTCAGCGTTCAGGTTCACTTTGGAATGTCCTGTGCAGTTGCAGATGAAGCTTTCACCAATGTAGTTGACATGGGTCGGTTGAAATGTCCGACAGTATTGTTCAGCCAAAAGGTTAGCGGCATCCCTGTCGTTATTGGTCGAACCATTAGAACCTAGCAGTAGAGAAACTCCAGTTTTGACTTGTCAAAGAGAAACTGCATGACGGAATAAGCTTTTCGGATTGGAGACGAATTTTGTCTGGCACTGGAGCCTATCTTCTCTGATTGCCTTTGTGCATATGTTCCTTATATGATTGTAGTGCCTGTACGCGCAGTTGTTATCAGTTCGTTTGTATTCTGCTCAACAGTGCCGTTTGTGGCTTAGCAAACGAAGAGTGCGGTTCTTGATGATTATAGTTTGCTTGTAGCTTTTGGGGAATTGAATGCTTAGTAGCACATAAGAGCGTGTGTAGTAAGTAATCCCAATGAGCATCCACATCAAGTTGAGGGTAAACATTTCAATCCGCCTGTCGTAGATAGCCCTGTAAGGCTGACACACTTAACCGTTAGAAGTTCCAGTGCCTGTTATTGAAGGGATATCTTAGCTCAGTTTTGCTGACAAAACTGAAAGATATAACGGTGTGATTGCTTTTCCTCAGTGGAGACAGAAATGAGAGGTTGTCGATCAGGAATTCTTTATATATATTTACCCAGTCTAAGCGCAACGGCGTCTGACTGTTTCTCCAATGAGTTGCCGACTTAACATTTACGAATAATCCCAGATCCTCAATGAGGTTAAAAAACTGAGCTTCAGTTGAGTTTTCACCTCCAATGTAGGTGTATTCCGCGAAGTTTATTCTAGGAAGATTGAAATACCCAAAATCAGGATATGAGAGAACCCAAGACGAGTAGAGCGGGTTAATCCTTCGGCAGTGGGATTCCTGTAGGTAGCCCCAAACTAGACACCTCGAGGTGGTAGACAATCTTACTGAGCACCATACCGATTCATCATGATTAATAAACTCTTGGTTGTGAACTTGGTGTACCTCCAGGGCATGGTCGTATGTGTAAGGCTACCCCATCCCTCGTTCCAGTTTTTCTGTCGTGGCAAAGCGATGACATTCCAGGTATTGCCAGCTCCTGGTCCATAAACTGGAGAGATATCCAAGTTTCAGGTATTCCCATCAGATGAGCGTTATTAGCATCGCTAAGTTCACGTAGCTCATCCATTTTATCCGGTAAATTCGCAGCGTTCATGTATAAGCAGTTAATGCTTTCAATTTGAAACGCGTGAGCTTCTTCCCGTTTGTCGGTATGAGCTTTACATGAATGGACAGGTAGTCTACCTATACAAGGTTTCCCGAGTTGGTAGTCTCTGTCCTTTACACGTTTTTTTATGATCAAGGCAGTCCACAGGTGGAATGTTCAGATCCAAATTGTCTTTGTGCTTGAGACTAATATCGTGTGGCCTATCCGTATCATATGGATTCTAGTGATGAAGACCGAGCCTATAATCCAAACGACGGGAAATCTGTAAACTGATTATTTATGGGTGCTTTTTAGCCAAGGGCGTTTCGTGTCATCCTTCGCCCTTATCACTGATAGAATGCAGTAAAACGCGACATCATACTACATCGAATGTCTGAAGCAATGCATGAGAGATCAGAATGTCCTCAGAAAGCATGTGCTTTTTATCAATGTACCCAAATTAACTATGTCGGTCAACCCAGGACACAAAAGTTCGCAATGAATTATATTTAAATAATAAAAATATTCAGTTCAAGCATTAGGTGTCTCATCGAAACAGTTTGAAAGATGTAGATTCCAAAACATACTTACAAATTACAATTGGATAGAATTATTTAAAGTGGTTTTTGAGGTAGTAGGAGAGTCTTACACATAATGGAGTTTCAAATGTAATAGCAATGGGTCACGTTCGGGATTCGGTACATTTAAAGAGCAATGAAGTATTATTGGTGATGAAAATTATTCTGCGTCTTTAGAAATAAATGAAATAAATGAAGGATTCCTGGAAATTTGCTTGAATCATCTCAGCCTGGAGCGAATTCTAGGTCTTGACTACTCACAATGAGCAAAAGTCTTACTTGTCGCCCAGTTTGTTGTGTCGTCACTTATCTACTAGTGTCCGAAGACTGATTCTTTGGATCACCTTAATGTACGTTGTAGGGTACTCTTATCATTTGGGAGCGCAGGGCGAAAGGCTGTTTCCATATTCCAGTAAGATCTGACTATGATTATTAAAAATGAGGTGGAAAGTTCTTCTTCCAGACTGCCCAAGAGTGAGCTTCAAAGTTATCGTTACATCGTTTGCTGCTTAGAAATGTTAAGCACAATCATAGCAACACTTTGGATCACGAGACACCAAGATATCTGGAAATTTTTCACGTTGAAACACCTGAAAATAATTTTTCAAATCCTATATGTAGTTTATGATATTTCTCAGAAGGACTACTTTTCACTTTGAAGAGTTGAAGGTTAGTCCATTGTTATCAGCCCCACTTTGAAGTCAAGACAGGTCCCTCTTAAATTTTAAATTGTCAACCTGGTTGTAGACGTCTCTGTCATTTATAACATCACTCCGACGATAACTCATGATGTGGATAATTTCTCTGAAGTAAAAGTTATCAGGTCCCAGTACTGAACTCTGGGGTATCCCACCAGTACATTCCGTAGCTTCAGAAAACGCAGCGTTCATTCTGACTTTAGAACGTCGATTACTTAAACATGACTTCATACACATATGACTGACTCTATCAAAGTGTACAAGAAATAAAAGCGAACCGTATCCGTCTTCCATTGGGATCAAGGATGATGGTCTACCAATACGTCGGAACCAACAGGTTGGCAGTCTAAGAACGCCTTTATATGGAACCATGTTATTGAGGTAAAAAGGAGCATCGACGACAGGTGTCCGCTTAAACCGTTGTATATCAGAGATCCCTCGATCATAACCGTTAGTCTTCATTTCATTGTGTCGCCCTATTTTGGAGATAGGTGGAATGTGTGCAGGCTCCCAGATGTCTGTGACAGCGCATTGGCTTAGCGAGTGGGAAAACAGTATATTAAGAGGTCTCGTCTAGATTGAGACCATTGAATAATTCAGAGAAGCTTCGCATCATCATAAGAACTCAGTGGTCTTATTCAGTCCAACCGCTTTTGGTTCTATTTGATCGTTTTCAGCATTCAAATATCCACAGTAATTTCTCATCTCAACAGAGCAGTTTAAGGAAAGACTATTACCAAACTACACGTATGCTGACGGCGGCGTGTAGGTAAACACTTGTGCTTGATCGTCTGGTTAGTGTGAGAAATGTATACAATGATTTCTTAGAAGCCTTTACTGGGGTTGACCGTAAGTTCATGCTGGTAGGTAATAGATCACCACCAGAACAATTGCCTAACTCAATGCTAAATAATCGGCTTTTTGATGTTTGGGTAAATTTAATATTTATTCAGCCCACAGAATTTCATTGTATGGTAATAAGATCTTTTCTTTAGTTGATTAACGACCCTCAGCTTCCTTTGAGACACTAGTACTAATTAGAAAGGATTGAATAGGCTTTCGCAATCTGAAGAACATGCTGGCAATCCTAGTAGATATGGTTTATCATCAAAGTTGGGCGGATAAAAATAGGCACAATTTCAACACAATAAACAGTTAGGTGGTCCACATCAGACGGGTTACTAACTAAAAATACAAATTAGTCAATTTCTTTCTGTAGTTTGTGGGGTTAGTTACGGTAAAACTGGTGTTAGCGTGCACTAATGATTCCTTTGTACTTGGTGATTACCTGATTTCGAATTCCAAATACAATACGTTCGTTTGTGCTCACCTATTTCCATTTGCTGTAAATTTCACCATTTCGGTAACTACTAATTCGTATAATAATTAAAATACTTCTAATTATCACTGTAGGCACATTTTATAATTTGTTTTTGTCTCTATTTGCATTTTTGTTAATTCTTACAATTTGTACGATTGAAGCTGCATGACCTTTAAACTCCTGCCCCGGTTTGTGAACACACATGACATGACCCATGGTTGTCACTCACAAATGCTCTGCTATACTAGTATGTTGTTCTAGTTTGTACACATGTCAGTCTATTCATTCTTTCCAAACCTTGTCACTTACTGACTTATTAGCTCTGACCATTTTTGTATGATTGTATATGTGTTGATCGCTTATCCAATTCATTACATGTTTGTAATTTATTTTCGGTCTGACGATAAATATTGATTACCGCTTGATCTAATGTAGTTGGCTCATTTGTCTTCTCTGATCCGCTTCGCTCCCTCATCATCGTTTCGTCCCCTTGATTGTCTGAGTGCATGAAATATACTTATTCAAAAAGCCATTCTCGTATTTGATTTATTTTTATTCAATCATTCACTAACGAGGTTTAAGTCGATGATTATATATGCGGATTAGTGACATATATATTTCGATGATAATTAACATACAACCCAACTGTAATTAGATACAGAGTCATTAAAATTTGTCCAGGGTTGAAGATTATCTAGGCCTTCTTGTGCTTTATTATCTATAATCCCATGCTATTTTGAGATATTATTATGAACCAGTTGCAGCACGTGTTTCAAAAATGGCAGTGACTTCGTACTATTTATGCTTTTATGTACTTGTAGCATCAAAAGGAATTCTTGGTCTGCTTTAACTCAAATTATTTCGTTTAAAGTTTGAAACTTTGC